CGAGAGGCGCCCGGGCTGGAGCGCCCCGGCCGTGCTGGCCACGGAGTTCTTCAGCTGCTTGATGACCGCGAAGAGCAGCAGGAACAGCAGGAAGAGCAGGAAGAAGAAGAGCGCCAGGTAGAGCAGCAAGTTGAGCTCCCACTCCATGCCGGAGGCCGGGCCGCCGCCCCACGCTCGCCCGCGAGGCCGCCTCCCGCGCCGCGCTCGGCCTCCCGTGCGGAGGACACGCCGAGGCGCGGTGTGACCTGGCGCCGCTCCCAGCCGGCACGGGCTTCCCGCGGCGCCGCGCTCCTCCGCTGCGGGGACCGCGAGCTGGTTTCCCCGGAGCCACCTTCTGCGGACCGGGACCCTGGGGCGGCGATACCGGCTCAGCCTCCCGGGGCCGGCTGGTGTTCTGCCGATGTCGGTGACAGCTCCGGGTCAGTCGTGGTGGCTTACGCCTGTAATCCCAGCGCCCTGGGAGGCCGAAGCTTGAGCCCAGGAGTTCGAGACCTGCCTGGGCAACATGGTGAGGTCTTAGCAGGGCATGGCGGCGCGCGCCTGTAGTCCCAGCTACTCGGGAGGCTGAAGCGGAAGGATTGCCTGATCCCAGGAGGTCGAGGCTGCGGTGAGCCGTGATTGTGCCACTGCCCTCCAGCCTGGGCGACAGGGTGACACCCTGTCCCCAGAGAAAATAAAATCCACCCCCAGCATCCAGTAGGTTGCCCATTCTCCTGTCTTCCTAAGATTCTTTCGTTATTTCCCCCCCGTTCCAGCCTCCTGAAAGGGCACGTGGTGCTATGACCCAGAGACCCCAGAGAGTAAAAGGTGACAGTGAAGATAGGGTCTGAATGACCTACCGGGCCTGGGTGGATTCCAGTCCACACTGCCTGCTCCTCACAATCGCTATACACTCAGGATTGAGTGTACCTTTCTATGGACGACAGATCGTTCTTATTTTAGGAACAAGATGCATTTCAAAAGTCACACTGCAAAACTTTCAAATGTTGGCTTGAAATTCAGTTTATTTGGTGAAAGGAGGGGGAAAAAAGACTCAAAATGTGTCTTTAAGTCCCCAATACCTAACATCACCTATACCCCATATGGTGCAGCTTTGAGAGAAATTGTCTTTGTGTAACAAATGCCCACAACTCAGTGGCTTAAAACAAGGTAAACACTGGTTCTCTCTCACAGTTTCTGCAAGGGATTTCAGCTTGGGTCACTCATGAGGTCAAGATGTCAGCCCAGGCTGTGAGTGCCTCACGTGGCCAGTAGGTGAGAGGTCTCATTTCCCTTCACAGGGCTCTGCAGGGCTGCTGGGTGATCCCAACAGCCATTGTCATCTCCCAGAACAGTGACCTGAGAGAGCAAGGCGGAAGCCGCCCTTACGGCTAGCTTCAGGAGTCACACACCCTCCGCTGCAGTGTCCTACCAGGCACACAGATCAGGCATGTTCAGTGCAGGATTCCAGGAACACGACATGAGCACCAAGGGTAAAGACCACTGGGGGCCT